TACGAAAATGTTCATTTGATAAATATAAATTATGATTATTGCATATTAATTTAGCTTAATTAAATTCTACACTTTAAATTTATGCATAATTAGCATGTATAAATAAATGTCCATTGTCGCTAACAAATATCACAACTACTTTATTAAATAGCGTAATAATATAATCGCTAGCATATAACTTCAAAACATAGCATACTCAAATTATTCAAATTTCATAATAAAGCAACAAAAATCATCATGATAAAAACAAAAAAAAATATCAACAAAAAAAGGACTATGCCACTCACCGGTATAGGCTGCACACCCATGTGTCGCTTGAGGGTCGAGTCCATCGAGGCTGGACATAGGACGGGTCCGACCGCCGCACTACCCAAACAGGGTGACTGATCGCCGCCCCCACCCCCGCTACTGAGCAACACAGCACCGGACTCGGCGGCGGCAGCCGCGGCCGCTGCCGCCGCGCACCTGTTCCTATGCTCCTGGGCCAGCTTGGCCAGTTGCTGGGTCCTGGTCTTGCGCATGGCTATCCGCTTGCCCAGGTAGCCCACGGTGGCGTACTCTAGTAGGGAGGCGAACACCATGACGAAGCACGTGCCCAGGAACACGTCGATCGATTTGATGTAGGAGATTTTTGGCAACGCGGCATTGGTGGACGACATGAGCGTGGTCATCGTGAGCACGGTGGTCACCCCCAGGGCCACCCGGGCCGGCGTGGCGTTCCGGTGCAGCCAAAATGAGACCCATGATATGATGACGATCAGCGAGGCTGGTATGTAGATTTGGATCAGGTAGTAGCCCATGGAGCGCACGAATTGGATCTCGCACACCAGCCGCGAGTAGTTGCCTAGGTGATTTTTTTTGAGGGAGAATTAGTTATGAGCGTATTTTTTGTATGCTAGAAATTGTTTCTTAATTATATTTATATTGTGTTTAAAAATTAAGTTACATGTATGTATGTAGATTGTATTATATTGTTGATTTTATAAGCCGGGTAATTTAATGGATTATTTTAAATTATTGTTAAGAATATTTAAAAATTAAAATTCGTCAACAACTATTGACCAGTCTCACTAATTTTAAATGTTATTAATTATTATATACTTTTTAAAAATAAAACTTTACAGGTCATTTAAGAAAATAAATAAATATATTCTATACTTTTGTAAAAACTAATGCAATTCTTTACAGTTTATATTAGCTATGTAACTTAAATGGCCTTAATAAAAATATTTAATAATAAAAACTTGTTTAAGATGACTAACCAATTACAATAATTGTAAATGTTATTAATTATGGGATAAATTTTGTAATAAAAATTTACAGGCTATTTGAGTAATATATCCATTATGAATTATCAATTTTTATTGTAAAAAACAATGTAATTATGGGATTAAATAAATGGCTACATACCAGTGCTTAACACTTCCAACTTTGTTGATTGTTTATGGCCGACCACTTTGAACTGTGGCAACTCGAGTCCCGGTGCCATACCTATAGAGCCCGGCCCTCTGCCCCATATGTATATAATATCTGCCATTGAATAGCCGTCTGTAAGGAAACAAATAATTTTTATAAATTTAAAACTGTATACTTTATTTTAGTAAGATAACTTAGTTTTCAACTATTGCACTTATAGTAAACTGGATGAATTAAAAACAAATCAAACTTATTAAAATTTTAAAATTTTTATTACAAAAAACAATTTTATTTTGAGTTACATATCATCCCCGAAAGGGCACTTCCCTGCATAGCATTGCCGTAAAAATAACTTTATTTACAGTTTCTTTATAATACAGATTTTTATAATAATATTGTTTATTATTTACCATAATGTGAAAATTCTTATTGTGTGTATATAGGGTATGTTTTTATTTTAAAAATTGGCTTTATACTTTTTAGTTTATTTGTGATCATGTCATGCGAAACATATAATTTGTTTTTCACTAAAAACTATATTTGATTTTAAACTCCTTTTCCCATTCAATTGTCCAAATGATTAATCGGACCCAATGTCCAGTATTTGTGCCGCCATTCATAACTACTGGTACTTACAGTAGTTACTCAGCCCATTAGTACCAAGCAAAAAATAAACAATAACGACACCAACCAATAATAAATTTTTAGCACAATACTATAATCATTACAAATAATTTATTTTTAGTTTACAAGTTACTTTAATTCTCAAACGTTTTTACGTTGGTGATTATTGTTACGTGTATGATGGCTAACCTGTATATTATAGTTATCTCTCGTATTTTCACATAAGGAAAAAGTTTTGATAAAAAATTTTATTTTTCAAAATAAAAGTTTTTATTTTGTTTTGTGCCCAATAGTGGGTCGTAAATAAAATGTATATCCAGTACAATCAACGCTCGTTATCATGAACACTTTGAAAAAGGTATTAAACTTTTATATCACCAAGATTATTACATAGAACCGTATAGAATATTAATGTATGTAGGTTTATTATTAAAATGGTAAATATTTTAAATCCCATTTTCGCTGTAATACACTCTGGAGAGTAGGGTATATTATCACCATTGTAAAATTGTGGAACGGTATGTGTATATGCTAGCATAAGTGTAAAACCAAAAGTCACAACCATTTTTTGTTTACTAATATCCCCATCCATTTAAATAGGGAGCAAAAAATCCAATAAAGTGTTTCCACTTAAAAGCTTTTGCTGTTCACTGAAAAAAGTTATTTTATTATCTCAAAGCTCTCTCTCTCTCTCTCTCTCTCTCTCTCTCTCTCTCTGTCGGAGATATTGAAAGTAAAATAAATTAAACTCTCTTTTTAGGCCTAAAATATATCTAAGAAATCGGTTTTTATTTATTTTTTCTTAATCTTTAACTCTATACTGAATTCTGTGTTTAATATAATAGAGTTTTGAAAATAATCTGTAAATTATCTCAAATTGTTTTTTGTATATATTTTAAAAATTAGATTTGAATTTAGTGTTAAAATGAATATATATAGTATTTATGTTAAGTCGATTAAAAATTGTAATTTATATTTATTGGAATAGGTTTATTCATGTTAATTTAAATAAATATAATAAAGGTCTTATACCACAAACAACTTATACTATGTAATTTTTATATTTACATTATAAAATAGAAATATTCTTAAAAATATATTATCTTAATTAATAGTAAAAGTTAATTTATTATCCAGATAAATATTTAGTCAATTTTCTAATGGTTATTCAAAATCAATGCCTACAATTAATTGGACAGTTAGCAAAATGGTGTGTCGGTACGTCTATCAACATAATAGCGACACAAACTGTATATTCATTTTGTTCGGTGATGTGTGAGAGCCCGGGATAAACACATTATCTGTGTATTAGGCGCCGGTGCCATACGACATACCAGTGCTCTATTGGATGTGTCAATTGGAGCGTCAATTTGGAAATTAAGAGATAATTATTATTTGGATTTCATTTTTATTAGACAACCCAACAGTACGTCAATAGTCAGGCAGAGAGAGAGAGAGAGAGAGAGAGAGAGAGAGAGAGTACTGAAAAGACATTTATCAATTATGTTGTTTATGTGAAATTTACTATAAAACATTAGTACTAATTACTGTATAGTATACTACAGTGTATACTAGGTTATTAGTGATTATTTGTCAAATTGTTTCCGGTTATATAAATAGATAGACAATTATATAATAGGGTTTCAATTAACGATAAACATTATTACACAATAATTGCGAAATATTTGTGAATGCTAAAAATTATATTTATTTATTTAAACTATAATTAATTATAGCATAATCATTATTGTCGTTCATTGTTAAATTTTTACTTGCTACAAAATAATTGCTATTATAAAGTTTATATTGATATGTAATTACAAATAGTGGTAGCAATACAATCGTGATTACTACCCACGTCTATTGTTAATAATAGTAAACATGGTCACTTTATGTTTGTACGAAAAAATAGACGATATAAATAGCTTGAACAGAAAACTAATCCATTAGAAAAATCAGAGCAAAAATCTATTGGAAAGTAAAACTTTTTGATGAAATTTATATAAAGGAGTGCAAAAAAATAGTGAAACAAAAATAGTTTTAATGAAAATTTATTGCTTTTTCTCTGTTGTGTAGAAAAGGATACCAAAGTCTCTCTCTCTCTCTCTCTCTCTCTAATAGAAATTTTATAGGTTTTTAGTGTCGATACCATTTCTTTTGCTAACAAATCGATTGCACAATTAAATTAAATTTTTTCAGTAGATTTTGTCAATTTATTTTAAATAAAAAGTACAAAGTATAGTATGAAATAAAAGTTGGGATAAAAATAAAATGAAAATTACTTTTTAAATCATTAATTTTAATTTGCTAATCTGTATAGATTATAATAGCTAAACAATTGTTGGTTAAATAATATTTGTATATACTGTATTTTTGTGTTATATGTACAATCTATTATACTGTAGATAATTTAAGGAAATATAAACTTTATTAGTAATTATCATATAAATAATGAAGTTAAAAGTGGTAAAGGTAAAATTTGTATACCATAAGTTACATTTTGTAAAATAAAATATATCAATCAGTTTTAAAAAGTATGTACGATATTTATTAATTTAGCTTACATCTTTATGTTACATTTGATACTATATTAGTCAATGCTATGATCACGTAAACAAAACATTAGTTTTCTATTAAAATTTTATTTTACAATTAATTGTTTTTATGTTTGTTTAAATTAGAGACAATATAAGAAAATAAGTCGATGCACAATTAGCCACGTACAAATAAAACTCGTTATTATTCATCGGAAACAATGTCCAACAATAATAACCGATGTCTGGCCCTGATAATCTCTCGATGTATGTCATAATTTTTAATCTGAATAAGTCGATGCACAATTAGCCACGTACAAATAAAACTCGTTATTATTCATGGGAAACAATGTCCAACAATAATAACCGATGTCTGGCCCTGATAATCTCTCGATGTATGTCATAATTTTTAATCTGCTATCAACTGATATTGATTTATTCCTGATTAAATAACTATTAAACAATTGGCGAGGTCTATGAGCATTAGCATTAACTTGTGAACTCATATAATTTAATAAAAACACTACACTTAGTGGTATACTACCGCAAAATGCTAATCCGAACTTTATAATAAAATTAGTGTCTGGGTCAGATATTAGCAAAATAGCTAACTCACACGGGATACTTGACACATAATACATTAAAAATATAATTTTATCAAATGTATGATTAAATATATTAGTTAATCTAACAAGCTGGTTATGCTTAAAAATGGCCATTGCTATCAACTTGGTATTATGGAGTTTTAAAGCTAGCTTGATTTGTTTGTTAATATCGCGATATTTATATATTAAACCATATGTAGCAAAATACCAAATAACTAGCCCGGCTGCAAATGGCGAGTAAAAACGTTTGTAAAATGGTACTGACAAGCATACCCAAAATATAAGTGCGCAGGGTGAATAAATAGCAGTATTATTTAAATACGTATATATAGTGAATACAATATCGGCCATACTGTATTGTTACTGGTATAAGGTTATATATCCACATTGTTTAAATTGGTACCAGTTGCAAGATGCTGTATCAAATGGTGTCAGTTTCGATCATTTACGGAATTATTGTAGTCCCATAAAACCCACAACAAAATCGGTGCTGTTAAAACATTCGTACAATTCAAATGTTCCCGTTAACCATTGATATTGAATGACCCCGTTAATACATTCGGTAGTTATCATTGTCAAAACAATCAATAATTTATATATTATTGAATTACCTAGCTGATTAGTCCAATCTACACCCAGTGCAATGCTGTAATAACCCATAGTATATCTACCGCATACGAGCAATATAATTAACCAAGACTTTAATATTTCAACAATTGTAGGTAGCACCCAGGCACGACTATCAGTGTACTCAGGGTAGGTTTTCGTAAATATGAAATTATATTTATACGCGCATTGAAATAACTTTTCAATCGTATCCCGCAATAAATATTCATTGATAACTTTTGTTATTTTAAACATTTTCATTGTTAAAGGTAATTTTATCTTTATACAAAAACTTCAAAACAAACTGTAAGTTTTGACTTTTATACTCGTTTTATAATTACCTTGATTTTATTATCGCTTGCTTAATGAGATAATATTTTGAATTGGTTATATATATTTTATGTAGAATAAGTAAAAATATGTTACATTTGTTTAAAAATGATTTAGTTTAAAAATAAATACATAATATTTTATTTCAAATTAAATCTAAAACCTAATTTTTAAAATGAAATATACGCATATGAATAGCATATTTCAAATCTAATTTCAAATTGCCGTGATAAATTAGGGACAATAAGTTTTTAATTTAGAAGTTGCATAATATTTTTTATTTATAGTTTATAACATATTTATTGATTATTGATTACCTAGGATAAGGGACTGTTTTGTAATATCTACGTATCGATTAGCTCTGTATAATTAGTTAGTTTTATAATAAACCGTATACACACAAAATCTCGAAAACAGAATCT